ACTCTTAGCTAGGCTTCGTGGTGGAAACGCTGCACTACTCCTCAGCTTGGGAGACTCCGCCATGGAGATGAATCCCCCCGCTGTACATCGCACTCCGACACGAACACCTCACAGCCACGATGAGGAGGTAAAGCGTTGGTGGGATAATAAATAAATGACAATGAATAGATATAATGTAAAATAACAAACAAATATAATAATCATGTTAAACTCCATCGATACGAACGTGTGAAACAGTAAAGAAGAATGCAGACGACGCCGTAAATCGAATGCTGAATTCTCGCGCTGAGAACAGGAGCACGCGCTGCCGAGCCGCTGCGCTTGCAGGATTATTCAGTCCCAAGGATGGCTTTTTCGGACAGTGCACAATGAGAGTGTACCCCTGTAAAGTACAAAGTACGGTACAATGCAGTATAGTACATTATCTTGCAAATTGTACTTGTACATCCTACGAGAAATTGTTAACATGTGTTTCCGGTTTTTTGTTAGTACTTCGGCAGCCTCTTCTTCAAGGACTGGATGTACTGCGGGTGAAACAACTACAAGAGGCTGAGATATTTGCAAAACTCCGAACAAAACGAACGCTAGAACTAGTTGAGAGACAGACGAAACGAAACACCCGTATGCTATGGTGGTGAAAGTGCTAGTCTCCCGGAAAGGGGAATAGCGCGTTCGTTCCCCACCGTAGGCACCTGCGGTCCGGAGTTTTGCAAACATCTCAGCAACTTGTGGTTGTTTCACACGCAGTACCCTACCATGAAAATTACAATAGGCAATAAATAAAACGTTAACATTGGATGTACTGTTGTACAGCCTTAATCAGCGAACTTCTGTATTCTCTGTAAAGAATCAATAAGCACGCTTTATTAAAGAGCACACATAAATATAAAGGTAAATTGAAAGGAGTGACATCTGACTCTCGTGCATGAGCAGACGCCGGAGCTTCGACGAATTTCCTAGTCTGAGACGGCTTCATTTATAATCCTGTGTAAACAATATTCGGACGGTCCCAAATGGAAAACGAATACGGTGTGTTCTTCTTAGCAAATCAACGTTATGTTTATCGATTTATTTCCCATTATGAATGTATAGTCACTGGGAGGGGGCGCGTGTGGCGAAGTGCTCGGAGGCACTCTGCAAGATACACGTGGAATCAATCTCCACGCCCATGGCCCACCAAGCCTTCCATCCTCTCCGGCGTGAGCAAATTGGTAACAGACTTGTCTGGGCTCCATACATCGGTAGGCCATCGCGAATCATTGTGCAGACCAAATATACATTCAATTACCTCCAAACGATGCTTGATGAAGTCGAATGCATGGCGCGTCATTCGGAGATTGGTCAACGCCGAGAACTTTCTCCTTTTTCATTTTATAGTCACTGGGTATTATTCTGTAAAAATACTACGTTCATGCTGTTAACAACGTTGTTGCTGGAACATGCTCTAGCCATCGAAAACAAGAGTACCTGTGAACAACCTCGTTTTTGTTAAACAAGGAGAGCTCGTAAGATCAAAAGAAAACTTCACGCGACATTACTTACTTCTTGGATACTTAGATGGCGCGTTCTCACCAGTTGTGCGGGCTCCAGCATAACTTCCATTTCCTGGAGATTTGCTGGTTAAGCCATTGTGGTTCCCTAGAATCTCTAGGTCAGCTTGGCTAGTCTGCCTCAGGTTTTCACCACCACAGGCAGTCGCAGCCCTTGTGGATCAAAGGGAGATTTGCCAGCATGCGACTTTGATACCAGGACGGTAGCCGATCTAAGTATTGGTTTACTCTTAGCCAGTCTTTCTGATGGAAACACGATACTCCTTTTCAGCTTGGGGACGCAGCTCTTGGGTGAATGCCCCACTGTACACCGCAGTCCGACATCCAGGAACACCTCCCAGCCACGATGAGGCGGTAAACTCTTGGCAGGAAAGTATGTATACATAAGTACAATTTGCGTATTCTACACACAGCTAATAACCCTTAAATAAAGGTCGCAATATTTAATTAGAATTGAATTCTTTGAATAAAACTTCCATTCGTTGCTAACAAATAACACTTTTGAGGAAAATTATGACATGTATATTTGGCCTCAGCAAAGTTTGCTATCTGAAAAACAGCTAGTGGTACATCATTGTGTTTGTTCTCAAATAGTGTGTGTTGTTTTCACCACTTCTTATAGGAGGTAATGGGAAGCGCAGTGGTCGCTATTCTATCCAATACATGGGCGGCTCAACCTATCAAGGCACTGGTTCGAAGCCGCCCTGGGCCACCAAGTTTCTAATCCCTCCAGGCTTAGGAAATTGATATAAGGCTTGTGTAGAACAATCTGGTTCTTCTAATCCATTTGGAAACACTCTAGTATGGATGGCTTCTTCGGAATCTAGGTACATTGGGCACAACTAGCTTTCGACGACATTTGTGACAAAAACAACAAAAAATCTTTGTGAAGTGGCAGAATCCAGAGGTGAAAAGAAGGTTCGAAGACCATCGCAGATAGTGAATGGAAGGTTCAACAGCCTTCGAGAATGATGAATGGAAGGAAAGGACCAGAATGTGAGAAGTGCTGGGATCCACATGGAAATATGATGATGGCTCACGTAAAAGAAAATTGGTGAAACAGTAAACTCTTGATGTTCTACCGCTTCTTTATTCAAGGCTTTGAGAACAGGGAACTATTAGCAGGCAGGTTCTCTGTTGTTTGTGGATAGTATGATTGTACATTGGACTATCAATTCTGGAGACAAAACTCTTCCGGTGACTAGCAAACACAGTCTTTTTATCGCTACCGTAGAATTGGTTGAGCCGGTCATATTTCTCATTCTCTCTTCACATCGATAAAAATGTCGTCCCAAAACAGGCAAGAAGAGTACACAATTCCCAATTTATATACATAGGTATCTTTACGTATACAAAGGTAAGTTTTAGCAAGTCAGAAGGTACATAGCCTGAAGCCACTTTCATCTCAGGTTCCAATATAATACCAATTTTAATCCCTGTCTAAAGCCTCTTCTACAACCTGGGGACGGTGAAAAAAATAGGACAAGTATTTTACGTAATGATTTCTTTGCCAATTTTTTGTTTTACCCTACGTCTCATGCAGAGCTATCAGTTGCAAATTCTCATCAGTCATTATATAGGCTACTTGCCATCATTACGACCACATCACTAGTTGCGAAATATCCAGCGTTTTCGTAAGCATCGGTACAACCGTCGAGCACTTCGAGCTCCTCATGACCATAAACCCGATTCGTTGTTGGAACATCTCCTTCACTAAAACTTTCTAGATCAATTCATTTACAGTTCTATGAAAGCGTCGAGTCAATTCGAATGATATGATAAATCAATGGCGGCTTCAAATATTTAAAGAATTGCCAATGTTCACTTAGCTGAACAATTAAGCCAAATCAATGTTTCTGGAAAGGGTTAGCCGTTCCCGGACAAATCTGTTAACAACTTCCAAACCGCGGAGCGGTGGAAGCTTTAGTGGGCCATCGTGGGAATCGAACAAGCACGTTGGTCGTAATGAATGGCATCACTGCCACCGCGCCACCCATCATTATCGAATTCTACTAAGTTACATCAGCTTAAAGACATTTATCTTTAAAAGACAGATATTTATCATTTTCAGGAAAAAATGAGACTGCTTAGAGCAAATATCGCAAGAACTTTTGACTGGAACATAGCTAGACATCAGCGAACGTCCATCTAGCAAATATACCACACAGATGTTTCGTCACACGTGTAGATAGCATTTCTCGTGGAATTTCCCTATCTTTCACTTAAATAAGTACTTCATCAAATTATATATTCGCATTTGTTACTCCTGTACTTAACCTGTTGTATCATAAAATACTTGGTACAACGTACGCGTGCCCGTCCTTCATTGACATTCCCTCTTAACCATCAAGGACTCCACTAGGTACGGCCTTCTTAACTATCAGGCACGCTGCCAGGCATGCTACCGGGAACGCCTGATTGCTAATGGACTAGACGCTGCACCCATGGCTTGAACCTGCCATCCAGCCACGCAAACTAGCATTGCCATTTGCCTTTTGACGACGCCTGGAGTTCGCCGCTGCCTTCCATCATCGTCCTGCCTTTTCGCTTAATCTTCTTCTATCAACACTCATTTGCTTTGGAAGTAATATTGTTATATTTATCTATATGGTCCCAGAAACTGATCTTATTGAGCTGATGCGAGGTCGCTGTAAATTTCCGTTGTCGTTTTTGTTGGTGTTGTTGGGCGACGGCTGACGTTTAGGCGACTTCACATTCCTCAGAGCCTGGACGTATTTTATACAAGAATAGTTTAATTATTCGGTGGAAAAAACCAAAGTAATAATGATAATCCATTATCTCTAGGTAGACATAAGGCACAAAAACACAATCGTGATGATTATGAAGTGACGGTCCAGATCCTTGCGCAGAAATCAAAAACATCAACGCGCAGGACTCTTGAGGAGTTTTGGATAATAAAAAAATTAAGGATAAAGCTCTCGGCGTTGATCAATCCCTGAAGGATTGGCCATGTATTCGACTTCATTGAGCATCGTTTGGAAGTGATTGAATGCATATCTGGCCATGGGATGGAAGGCTTGGTGGGCCATGGACATTAAGATGGATTCCATGTGTGTCGCAGTGGTGACCACCAACCATTATGCCACACGCGCCCTTTATAACGAATAACAACGGTTTAATTGCCCAATTTTGAGATATCAACCTTCGTGCGGGTGATGCTATAGCCTGGTAGTATACATCCAGCACCTATTGGACCGAGAGTTCGCATTTGAAGGTAACACAAAATGGGAGGTTGATTTTTACGTCATCGCAACCCTGCTTCTTGCGACAGCGCTGGAGGAAGTGTGCTTGAATGCGTCGATGCCACGAAGTTTAGTACTGCTCCACAAACGACCTATCTGGTTAATAATGCTAGCGATCGCGAAGCTCACCTGGTAGAACATGCTACGACGGCACGTGCAACATGATAGGAAATTCTGGTCGCTCTCTATGCATACAATTCGCGAGCAGATGGCAACCTCAGTTTTAGAAGGGCGATATCATGTACTTACTAGATCAGGGCAACTGCGACTGGTGGTACGTGCGTCATCAGCGTACAGGAAATACCGGATATGTGCCGAGAAATTTCGTAGCAGGGTAACAAACCATAGAAAGTGAAGAATGGTATGCGGGAAGATTCCGTGCAATCGTGCTGAGCGACTCGTTTTAGCTAACAATTCTCCAAAAGGGACCTTTTTAATACGTGGGCCGAGAGTTTGCACTGACAATCAGAGATTCAGACGATATTCGAGGAGGTTCTGTAAAACATTATGAGGTTAAGCGTCTTGATCATGATCTTTTTCAACACCAACACGCAAAGCTTTTGGGACGCCTCAGGAGCTTGTTGCTTACTATTCCGAAATGGCTGACGGTTCATGTTGTCAGCTAACATTACCAGCTCAAAGAATCGCACCAACGCGCCCAGATCTTAGCCATGATACTCAGCAGAATTGGGAAATTCCTAGAAATCAGCTGCAGTTGAAGAGAGAGTTAGGAGATGGGAACTTTGGCGATATCTGATACGGTAAATGGCCTGGAATCGTCGGAGTAGCAGTAAAGATGATGAAACCCGGAATAATGTCCCTAGAAGGCTTTTTGGGTAAGGCTCAAATAGTGGAGCAATGTGACCATCCAAACTTGGTGAAGTTGCACGCCGTTTGTACACGTGAGGAGCCCTTTTATATTATCACGCAATACATGTGTAACGACCCGTCCTACACTACTTGAGAAATGAGAAGCTTCTCTTGGAATACAAGCGCTTGTAGATATGGCCGCTCAGATTGCGAATTGTGTACCTGGAGGAACGAAAATTAGTGCATCGTGACTTGGCTGCTAGAAATGTTCTTGTTGGAGAAAAGATTAGTGGCTTTCCCGTCGTTAATGAGGCCGATTTTGGACTTACACGAAAACTAATGGAGGAAGACATATATGAAGCTCGAACAGGAGCTAAATTCCCTATCAAATGGACTGCGCTGGAGGTAGCCACATACGGTAATTTCGCCGTTAAGGAGACATGCGTACGGAATATTACTTTATGAGTTTATGACGAAAGGACAACTTCCGTATCCAGGCATGCATAACATAGAAGAAGTGGAGTACGTGGAGATCGGATATTGTATGCCAATATCGCGAGGCTGTCCTGAGCGTTTTGGATGAATTTCAAAAATCCAAGGATGAACCGGAAAGATGAATGCCTCACTATCACACGTGACCTGGCGCCCTATTTCAAAATGATATTTTGACCCCAGGGTGTGTCTTGCTCGCGGACATACGCGAACAACGTCTGGGCCAGTTCCACTCGTAACAGCACAGTAAGTAGCCTTTTTGATCAACATGGGATCTATTTAAAAGTTTGACATTCTTGTATAAAATACGTCCAGGCTCCGAGGAAGACGAAATCGCCGAAACGTCAGCCATCGACCAATAACACCAGCAACAAGCACAACAATGACGACAACGGAAACTTATACCAACTTCGCATCAACGAGATCAGTTTATAAGACCATATAAATTAACATATCAACTATTTATGCCAAGGTTTATAGAAAGTCGGTCTTTTAAATTACTAATATTGTTAAATAAAATCTCCAGTCCTTGGATTATCAACATATTAAGGTTGCTATCAATCCTTAATGTAACCACTACTAGTTGTTTATCTAGCAGCTTTCTCAAATAATTCCACTGTTTATAAGCACTCCACAAAATTCACCATTGCCCCACCAATTCTTTTGTTTAGGCAAAAGTAATGTTAACTAAAATCCGATGCCCTTGTATCATCATCATGTTAAATTTGTCATCAACTGTCGTCTATTCTACGTGTTGCTAATATAGAAACTGTTTCAAATACCTGCACTACTCACAATCGTCCATTCTGCACAATCTTTCTCATTGCTGAAGCAACTCCGCTATCACTATCACATTCTTGTACTGTGTGCACGTCCTAATCCTAACCCTATTATAGTCATAAAAATACTGTTAGATAAACAGTATTTCCTAACTACTCATATCCTCATAAACCTGTTGCATAATGTTTTACGTTACTGTTAATAGAACTAGTTAGCTATTCTACGACCTACTGAACCACCTCGCTTGTAACTTATTGCACATCCTGAATCTCATTGCGCTGCTTCATAAATAATGTGTATAAAGGTTCAATTACCCAGGTTTGAAGTACTTTACCCTAAAAACCTTCATTATCGTTGCTAAAGTAGTCTTCCCACACCCTCAACACATTCGCACATTTCCCTAATCCCTAACACCATAATCACTTATTAGTAAACGTTAGCCTCAAATTCACAAGAATATAGTCAGATACCAATGGACGGAGGATAACTGCGGAAAAAACAATGTTTTAACCGAAATTTGAAAGAAAATAGTGGCGACGATAATATAACACTCTACAAGTTCAGAAGATAAATGGTGAGGAAACTAGGGTGATAGCTCGCAAGAAGTGTGCTACTTACATCGAAGATTAGAACGCATTAGTAAAGCAAATCAGCGTTTCGGAAATGTTATCGCAATGATGTACGTCGAATAAAAAGAAAGGACAAATACAAGGGCTGTTATGTAGACTATACTATACGTGAGAGCAATTAGCGATTGAGCAGCAAGTACGTGTTAGAATGAATCTTTTCGCAACAACACCGCCAAAGGTCCATAAATTCCCCGCCACCGTCGTACGAGGCATGTGAATGTATTGAAGTTCGTTGGTACAGGGTCAATGAGAAAATGAACATCACCCTAGGATATTCTCAGTGTAATGGAACCAAATGAGGGGAACCGAAACATATATAAAGCTGTGGAGATTACAGTAAAACGACGAAATTTATGGAGTACTGTCAAAAAACTTCTCCTTCCGCCTCGCTGTGGGTTCCAAGGCACCTCGGGCAGCAGGTGGCACTGCAACCGCGCCTGGCATGCTCTTGTTGGCGCTGGACGACTCGAACGGAGCACTAGAAGCGGCAGGAGTGCCACTGCCACCAACATTTTTCTTATGACACTCATCGTATTCAAGGAATTGGAGCCAGTATTCCTATAGAAACAATGCGGATTAATCTGATTTGAGAGCAATAAAAACAAATAATAAAATGTGCATGGAAACTAGACTTCGTTGTATTGTGGGGGCTTTTTCGGTTTACGAAAGAAGATGGAAACGAGCTCAACATCTTCAACAATGAGCTCAACAAATGGTAATCCTATATCCTAGCCCACCGAGCAGCTCCGTGCTCAACAAAGAAAAGTAGGAATATGATCGAATGGAATGAACGCCTAGTGGGATCAAGAGAGATATAAAACAAAGACAAATAAAAAACATAGACTCGCCGAGGACATCTTGAGCATTTGAAGAACGGAACGCTCCTTCTCACCAGCATCATCGGATGCAACCTTGATATCACCACGTGGATATGAACCTTGACCCATAATAGGAATCGCCATGCAACGAGCAATCTTTTGGAATGTCATTTGGTTCAATTCCTTTAAAGCTGCCACCTGAATACCAGTTATATAAGGAATAAACAAACAAAAAAAGACTGTAAAAACCTTCTGCAAATGGAGCACCAAGTATGCCAACGTGTCTCTGTTAGGCTGGGGAAGATCGCAGATGGCGACGTTCAGAGATATAATGTTATTTGTTTGAGCAGCTCGAATGAACTCCTCACGAGACGATTTCGGCACCAGTGGGTCCTGAAAACGTTCAAATTAAGAATGATTCGAATAAAATAAATTGTGTTAAAAAGAAAACACACCCGTAACTCTCTTAAAAATGACTTGACCACATCAGCGATATCGTGCGCTGCCTGAGTACTGAGTTTTGGAATACCACGAGACGTACGGAGTTCATTCAAAACACTCTGTACCTAAAACAAGAACAGGTAATCGTGGGTTCAAATCTGGCCTACGGTCTGAGTTTTAGAATTATCTCAGCATCACTGTGGTTATGTCATGCAAGTCCTTGAGTAACAACACAAAAAAGTGCTCACATAACCAAGCTCATTTTATACATATTTTACGCTTTATTTAAATCCAATGAAACTTCAGAACTTACATGATCTTTCCGTCCCGAAAGACGATATATACCATATACATTCAAACCTCGCTTTTCCAATTCGACAACACAATAGATAACTGGGTATGCAATCATTGGAGGTAGACGAGGACAGAAGTCCTTAAACGTACGATTAGGACATAAATGGAAGACCAGTTGTTCATATCGACTTATGTCGACTCACCCGTAACATTTAAATCAAAAAGCGCAGCGTGAAAAATAAAAACAGACCTGTAGATGATAGAATGGCTGACCTCGCCTACTTAGTGCTCGGGTAAACACGAGTGTTCTGGGAACACAAGGCAAAATTAATCGCCTATAAGCACTACGATATTAAACAACTACGGGGGATTCAATAGCATCTAAATATGTTTACAGCCTCAGAACATACGGAGAACAAGAAACATGAGCGAGTTGAAGGCAGTCTCGACATTTATACGCTAGTTTCGCAGCAAAATTGATTCCACCGTGACAAACATCACAAGAGGTGATCTAAGTTTAAAAAGTGGGTGCATCACTGAACGTTGTAATAATGTATTCGACTCACGTATCCTAACCTTAAAGTATGTTGACAACGGCTGGAAGTCATGCCGGCGGCTTGATATTGACATTCCACGAGTCCATGATCCGCCGCCAGGTGTTCGCATCGGTGTGCGGCTAAATCGAAGTGGAACAACCGATTTTAAGATATTAATGGCAATTCAACGTTTCCATTGAAAATTTCCGCTCAAAGTAAACCAATATGAGGGTTAACGCCGCCCCGGCATCGAACTAGTCGCAAGGTGGCACCATCTCCCACTGATCCCAAGAGGTGGCGACTTCCCGTAGTGACGGCATGAGCAAAGCTCCAGCAAGGGTGACGTCGTGTTTCCATATGCTCAGTAACTCTGCAATACAATCTCCAGCCCGCGACGTTGAGTGGGGAAACGACCGCTGACAGACGACCATATCTCGGTTGCACAGGATGTCATTACAACCGGAACAAATGGACACGTTCACGACACGCCATGNCAAAATTGATTCCACCGTGACAAACATCACAAGAGGTGATCTAAGTTTAAAAAGTGGGTGC